ATTTAGATAAATAGATCTTGCGCACTTTCAAGGCCCAAACAAGTGTTCGTTTTCAAATGTTGTAAAAATAATTCATTATATCTTAATGGCAAGTTCAGAACGCAGGGACAGAGCTATACGTACCCTGGTGGTTATATTTGTCCAGCTTTCACTTCTACAGCATAACCACACCGTTTTGCAATGAAACTTGCGTACAAAAGAATGAAGCAAGTTTATTTTAAATATGACTTCATATCACCTTGTTTTACATTCGAAAAAAAAAAGCGTCGCAAATATCAAGAACGGTATCCATCCGAAGCAGATCCGAAGCCTGTGCTTCCCATAATTCCCATGTAGGTACAAGGGCCGCTGAAGGAGCTCGCGTAGACACTAGCACCAGATTCCCCTCTAGGTATTATTAGGGAGCTTGTTAGGAAGCTTTGGAATAACGTTTGCAGGGCTGTGGGCGTTGAGGGCATAGCGGGCGTCATATCGTTTGCTAAGCCTAAGGAAAAGTCTAGGGAATTTCACCCCGACCGCAAACACAAATGCACGGAAGCTACTAACAGCACTTTGCGGGCCTCGCGGGCCACGACCACCGCACGCTATTTCGGATTTTCTGCGTGCGGGCCGCGAACGCGGACGGCGACTCGCGTTACGACGCGTGTGCAGTAGCAGCGACCACACCGCAAGGGCTCGCGGTGCGCTATTCTAAAACTCCCTATTGTATGAAACTCTATGGGGTGAATCTTCTCAAAGCCTGCGATTGCCGGGAATCGCAGTGTAAGCCTGTAGAGTACCTTGCCGACAACTTCCAGTGACCAGTACTAGTAAGGGGTACACAAACAGGTAATTACAACCTAGTTGCAATGATGCGACAGAAGCCCAACTTTGTCAGAGATGCAGGACGTTCTGGTCAACGTGGGAAGATATGCAATGTACGCGACCCTAGAAAAGTCAACTCCCAAATGTAGAGACACCCTCACTACGGATAAGACGATCCATGTCTCTGCAACTCAAGAGCGCTACGGTGCCGGGAAGCGGTTTGAACGAGGAGGACACCTTTATTAAGGGATAACGCTGTTGCTCAAAGCTACTTTGTTCTAAAGAGTTGCTCAGAGGGTTTCAAGCTCAACGGTTGTGCCGCCCATGACCTTCGATGCCAGCGTAGCTCTCGCCGACTGGTTCGGCCTCCCCAATCTTCTGACGCCGTGCAGTTCTCGCTGTGTGGTGCCGCGTCCTTAGACTTCTTCGATCGTCTCCCACCTTTCATATCTCCTCTTTTAAAGACGATAGTCTTTCGGGGACCTTTGACGCAAACATCTTTGTTTGTCTGTCTGTCTGTTTGGCCTCTTTTAACAATACTCCAAACGGCACCAAACGATACTCCAAACGGCCGACCCCATCCGCAGCGCCCACCAATATTGCTCAATGTTTAAAAATTCATACTTGTGCGATTTCAGTTAAAAAGCTATTATTGCGCATATCTGAGACACCATAACAACACATAAATATTTTGTATGTGTGAATGTTTACTATAAAAGGCATACATAAGTAATTCTAACTACCGTGGCGCTTATCAGGCTGCGCTGACGATGCAACGCTTGCACGAAAAGGCAAGTGTTCCCAGCGCTTTGCTAAGACGACATGGTGGTGGCACCTACCCGTCACCTTGCGTTCTACACCTTATTGCCTCCAAGACGGGTACGCACGCCGCGCGCTTCGTTTTCCAAGATAACTGCCAGATAGCCCTTATGTCTCACGAGTGACGTCACTTCATTCACTCGTTCGCCTCCGCTGCACGCTTGAGGCACTCCAACGCAGTGCCTTCAGAATACCATTCACGAATTTCTTCCGCAGAACTTCAAATAAACGTTTTGTTCACTCTGTCCAGACGCAAGACTATCGTATTTCGATGACATCTGCAGTGTAAGATGTAGATATGGGGCCAATGTTTTTCTGTCGCTTACCTTGTCCTATTTAGCATACAAGGATGGGGCACACGTTCCAGCCCCTCCTCCCCCTTTTCCCCAACGCCACTACACCTCGAAGCGGCCTACCTTGTGTTACGTGTGACCCAGCGACACTAGCGAAACACTGACGACAAGTAGCACTCGAATGCATTTTTTTTAAAATTGTAATGGTGTGAATATTTATTCAGCCTAGACCACCGAGTTTCGTATAAGCATTTCCGTCACCACTGCTCTGTCTTTAATCACTGATTAAAACTATTTTAATCCCCGATTCCATCCTGGCCGTATCCAATAGGGGGGGGGGGGGTCATATTCCCCTCCAAATTGTTTTCAGTTGTGCTTGCGTATGTAACAAGCACACATAGAAGCGCACAAACATAGACATAGTACGGTTGCCCCCCTTTCTTCCCCCCCCCCCCCCCAAAAAAAAAAGCTCTAGCTCTGTCTACGCTCCTATCTTCCTTCATGAACATGATGAACAAGAAACATCAATACTTATAAAACGTGAGTTTGGCACACGACCATGGGAATCGAAGCACTCAGCAGCATATACGTGTGTGGGGAGAGATGTGCAAAGATGTGCAAAGTGCACTGTACGAGCTCGCCGTCAGTTTTTGTTTCTAACAAATAGTCTTATAACAAACTTACACTGAGGCTATTTCCGTTCAAGAGACAGTATGATTGGGCGTGTTGGTATAACATGGTAAAGAGTGCTTACCAGCGCAAACGACGGGGCAGTAGGGGTACGTCAGGTCAGCGCTCTGTCTCGTCTCTTCTCCTGTCCCCTCCTGCCCTGTCGTTTGCGCTGGTAAGCACTCTATCTATTTCTGTTATTTGCCGGTACGTACACGTTCAGCAAAATCAAAGCGCTTCAGCAGCCAGCACGCTCACTGCGTGCCCTTCACCATACTCGATATGTCTTACCTGTACGAGAGATTTTGCAGTGGTTGCCTTTTAAGACGGATGCCTTGCGAAAATTACACAGAGCACATTCGCAAGAGAAAATATAAACATCTCTCACGAACGTTGCCTAAATCTATAAAAAAAATCTTTGATTGATTGATTGATATGTGGGGTTTAACGTCCCAAAACCACCATATGATTATGAGAGACGCCGTAGTGGAGGGCTCCGGAAATTTCGACCACCTGGGGTTCTTTAACGTGCACCCAAATCTGAGCACACGGGCCTACAACATTTCCGCCTCCATCGGAAATGCAGCCGCCGCAGCCAGGATTTGAACCCGCGACCTGCGGGTCAGCAGCCGAGTACCTTAGCCACTAGACCACCGCGGCGGGGTCTAGTGGCTTAGGTACTCGGCTGCTTTAGAGGAAATCTTTAGAGGAAATCTTTAGAAAAAAATCTTTAGAGGAAGGTAATATCCATACGTGTTGTGTACAGTGTAAGTAGGGTTGGCCTGAAAGTTCGTTATTTGCAGAACTTTTCCGGGGTTTTGTCTTCAACCTTGCATTGCATCTGTTTATTTTTTTTTCAAATGCATATGTACGTCTATTGGCGATTATCTTTGCATTAAAGCACTGAAATACAACGTCTTTGGCGAACATAGCGCATTTTTTCTCACTCTTTACGAGTAATAACTCAATTTAGTCATTCAGGTGCCTTCAGAATGTGCACGACTCGCATTTTGGGCGAAAACGCGTGAATAAAGATAAATTTGCCCAGAGTAGTCGACAAACACCGATAAACGCACCACAACCTCACGCCGCGAATCACCACGTGTATCGGGACTCGTTTGTTCCTCGCGATTCTAGAGGGCACTGGAGCTCCTCGCGTCGTCTCTCTTATCCCGGTAAAACAAACTGAACTCAACGTTAAGTTACGCAAACTAAACTATTCTTTCTTTATAACGAGAAGGTTTCCCTGGCGTCCTCTTGGGGAAAATTTGCTGCCTCCAAGAGCCGTTTATGACAGTGGTAAATTAGTGGGGATCGTCGTCCGCAGTTTCTAGCTTAGCGGCGAGAGCGAGGCCGGACGAGAGGGAGAGAGAGAGAGAAAGATACAAGGAAAGGCAGGGAGGTTAACCAGACGCACATCCGGTTTGCTACCCTGCACTGGGGAAGAGAGCACGGCTGCGGCTAAGCGGGTGAAATGAAGGGCTAGTGTAGCAGAGGAGGGGTTGCCACCTGGAGATAGTGAAGCTAGAAGAGAACGGAAGCGCATTCGTCATGGAAAGTTCGCCTCTACATCAATGAAATAGCATTATGCCACCAGCTCCGATGTTTGACCAGTATTTACGTCGTTAGGTCAGTGAAGATTCTTCAAATATTTTGTACAATCATAGAGGTACCCTCCTCATAGCAGGCGCGGCGATACTTTCAGCAGATGTTTCACCGTGAGGTTATATATACTGTCATCTGGTGTAGTATAGTTGACAGCGCACGGTATACGCTGACAGAAGCTTTATAGAAATATTTGCATCGTTTTTGCATTTTCGCGAAGGTTAGGTTTGTCTCGTGCCGTTTGAAACCTCATTCAAAAAACAACCAGCGCGAAAGTGGCGTTTCATCTACGCTACCCTAGCGCCAAACAACGAGGGTGCATGCATAACACAACACAATAAACTTTCCGCATTTATCTCGCACAGACAGCTAACTGATGTAGGTGGTTGGTGCATGTTCCAAGACGCACAGCAACGATTCCTCTCTTTTGCGAGATATTGGACCAGATTACTTGGCCATCTTCTATATCCGTCTATTTTGTAAAATATACGAATAAAATGAAAAACAGGTTTAACGTTCATTTTCAAAATACAATGTCGTTTCTTGTCCCCATGGACTCGTGCCTTGCCTTACCCTTTTCACGCCACAAGCACACGCTCACGTCACACACCCGAGACACCGCATGTAGCAGCATATCTTGTAACGTTCCTCGAAACACCAATGAGTGTCGATTATTATGTAACTTGTTCTAGGTGCAGTGTCATGGAAAGCAATGTGATGCGACACATTTCACATAACACCGCTTCGAACAGCATATATGCATATTAGTAGCCCCCTCCCCCCGGTGCAAGGAATGAAGAAGAAAACGAGTTTGAGTATGTAAACATTTTTATTCTTTTATGAGTATAGATTAAGTACAAATCTCAATAATCTCGTCGCGACTCTTTTTCTCACAGTCATGCCATCTCCCACAGCGTGTTATCACACGGAATATAGATGCCACACACGGTCTCATATCAGTTTTATGTACACGCTCGGACGCCCACCACACCGTATCGCGCATGCGCGGCGATAAAGGGGGCTCCTGCATGAGGACGTCGAAATACGAGACAGCGCGCAGCACACATCGAAGAGACATCGACCGTAAATCAAGGTGGCATGGTACGTATTCTCCGTTTGCTTTTCAGTTCGCTCTCTCTTTTCCGCTTCTCAGGGGGGCGGGCGGCAGAGTAGTTTAGTGCCACAAGCAGAGACACCTCGCGACCACAAACACACGCACTTACACGCACAAACAAGCAACCACGCACGCATTCAACTGGCACGCTCTCACACACACGTCAACAAGAACTGGATGCAAGGGCGCGTCGTCTCTCGCCATTCGGGAGACCACGCGGATTTTGGCACCTCTAAGCGACAACTTGTTCCACAACCGGGATGCTGATTCCTGGCGTAACTACGTGCCTTCTCTCCAAAGGAGCGCTTGTCTTACCCCCTTAACCCCCCCCCCCCCCTATACGAATAATCGTGACGCTCTATCGTCTGCAGTAAAAGGTGCCCGAGATTGTTCTCACGGCTGTCAGCCGCACAGTAGCACAGTGCCAGATACATACACATATACATTGTCCATCAAACGATCACGCCACTCTTAACACCTGGGCCGAGGTGGTTACTCGGCTGAATGAAGTTACTTCTGCACCGAAAGTCCATTATCAGCAGTGACGAAGTGTCCGAAGTGATTTTTTTTCATATTTATAGACCATTGCGAATAATCTTTTGTTCTAAATTAAGAGCACATCTATGAATCTCTCTTTGTAAAACAGCCACGAACCGTCGAAACTTTCGCACTAAACTGAGATAGGCGAAGAAAAGATGATGGGCGCAGATGAAGCGCCTTTCCACCGCTTACGACGACACCGACTTGATTGGAACGAGTGAATCACCTAGCGGACCGTTCATACGGGGCCTCGCGAGCTCAAAACCACGTCGACGTATACACGAAGCTCTGTCAACACTTAGAGGCGGGATGCGGAGCGACACTACATCGAGACGAGGAACAGAGGGCACGCTCACGTCGGTATGAACACGAACAGAACCCCGTATAGGAGCCGAAACGACAGCTTAGGACACAGAGATCTCGAAGGCAAGGAGATTCGGAGAGAATAGGCTCGGGGCACAGAGGACAAATAAAGGGACGCTCTCATATAAGGCACTTCATGTCACAAACCAACCGAAAAGCAGCACACTTAGGTACGCACAAATCATCCGCCCCACGGTCGCACCGCCGGATGTCAGCGTGGCGGGACCAGCTGGGGAAGCGGCGAAAATCCCCAAGCAACACACACGCAAACTAAAACTGAGAACCCACGTCGGAGACCCCAAAAAAGCACCTTTGGAAGTGTCATTCACGCCCGTCTCGAAACGCTTTTTTTTTTTAACCACTCGAGAAAGTTGAAGAGTTCACGCAGTTCGACATCGACAGAGAAACTCACGTAGGAAGGAAAAAATGTACAGCGTGTCCTTGTCTCGTGTTGTCCAGAGGACACACCAGGTCATAGGGCACGAAATACCCTGAAAATGGACCGAGAGTTTGTTTTGCGATTCGCGACTGCGAATTGCAGTGTTCTTACACAGAGAAAACGGAACAACACCTTGTTCTTTCATGGACTGGGTTCGAGGACATATGGCCTTCTTTTTTTTCTCTCATATTTACAGTCTTGATGTGCCTCAGAAAAAAAAAACAAAAAATGCCAACTGCGTTAAAATGTCACCTCTTTTGTTTAATTGTGAAGCTCAGCAAAACTAAAGAGCAATTGAGCATATAAACAGGTCGAAGGATGGCAGTCGAATGCTATGAGCCTGCTCTGGGATGAGAGTATAATAACGTATGTATACATGTATGTATAATATATTACAAAAGTAAAGAGAAAAATTGCACAAAATTGGAAAATGAGTGAGAGCTTGTCATGTGAAAACACATGGGGGAGGGGGGATTTTTACAATTTGTAGTAAAGAAGAGCGCATAATGACAGCTTAGTACGAACACTTCATCGGCGCTGGCGAAAGTGAGTGCACAAATGTCAACGAAAGGTTAAAGGAGAAAAAAAGAACACGCCGAAAAAAATTCGGTGGACTAGTAGTGACAAAGTCAGGCACTGCCTGCGGCACCTGTTTCTTCAAAAAACGCGAGAAACAAAAACATGAAGAGCATTTCCTTCAGTCACACTCGCACGAGTGGTTCAGTCAGGCAGACGATCGGCAAAAACGCTTGAACGATGGGCAGTCCGTAATTTGTTTCACTTCGCCCGTCTTCCTTCCTACTGATGACATGCACAAGCCGGCGCCGATTCCCGTCGACGGCTTCGCTCACAGCAAACCGGCTGACGACAAGAATTGAAAATAGAGACCTATGTCTTCTCTTAATGAAATAGGAATACGAGGCAGTGACCCTAGGCATCCGGCTTGAGCCGGGTCCGGCGCGTCTTGCCCCTGCGTTTTCTCGAGTTCTCCTTGCGGAACGCCACGTTGCTCGGGTCGTCGGCAAGTTCGGGGTACTTCTCGATGTCGTGCACGTCCGTGCCGAAGTACCGCGCCACCATTCCCGTGGCCATGAGCTCTTCGCGCTCGACCTTGGTCCAGTCATTGGAGCCTTTGTGACCGTTGCGGACGAGCTCCAACTCCTGGGTCCAGGCATCGTCCACGGCACGTCGGCGTGCATGACGCATGAGCCGGTGGCGCTCCTCCTGCAGGGACGTGCCATAGCGGATGTTCAGGACGACACTCGTGCTGTGCATGCGGATGTCCACTTGACCCCGAGGTCCTCCGACACCCTCGCTCTCGACGACGTGCTTAGTGATGTTGAACATGGTTCCCAGGCGGCCCAGCTGGACCCAGTCCTCTTCGGCCTTGGACAACTGAGGCTGGACGAAGAAGAAGGAGTCTTGGCCATGCAGCGAGAAGTGGACGTCGACCATGAGGGTGTCGTTGAAGATGGCGACCATGACGTCGCGAAGGATGGGGCTCGACTCGCTCACGACGTGCACGGCGGCGCGGTGAGCTTCACCGCGCGAAAGCAGAATGCCGTCACCCAGCACGGATGGCAGGTTGGAGACGCGAGAGTTGATGTGCCGCTGGAAGCTGCTGCTGTCCAGCTTCACTGCCGTCTTGGGGACGGTAGAGAAGCGGTAGAACTCGGCCTGCACGATGTCGGCCATGCAGCTGAGACCTGAGATGACTGGCACCGCTTCAGGGACAGGAGCGCCGACTCGTGTGTCAGGCGGGCACCGTGTTTGCGGAGCCACCAACACTCGCCGCATGTCGTAGCCCAGAGCAGCCATCCAGGCTGGCAAGTCTGCGAGAAGATGGCGGGATTAATGACAAGATTAATCACCAGGCTAAGCAGACAAGACAAATGGGTCGATAAAAGCGTGGCACCGCAAGGGAAAAAAACGCAAAAAATATTTACGCGAGTATTTGCGAATTAAAGTAAAAAATACAGTAGAGATGACAATAAAAGTTTGCACACAGATATTGAATGCTTGATAAAATATTTAAAAAGAGAGTTCAAAATTTGTCATGTTATTCTTAACAGGCTGTGCCCTCACGGACCTAGTTATGGCTTTATTATAATTTGATAGTCCTCACCACATTTCGAAAAAAATTGAGGGCCCTAGAAACCAATACCTGGTCCCAATATAGAAAGCTGATGTTCCATTATGTTCTTGACACAATATCAAAGCTTTGAAAGGTATTGAAAACGTTTGTTAAACCCACTTACCATTCAGGTGCCCACCGTCAGCCTGAGCAGGGTTGATGGGATCATTGCCGTGGAATCGGTACAGGTGGATGTCGTAGGGCTTCTGAAGTAATGTCGGCATGCTTTCCCAGTTCGGTGTCAACCACTGCACTCCAAGAGCATCGTAAACCCTTCCACCAAAGTGAATGAGCTGGGTCACGGGGTCTCTCAAACCACCCTGGAAGTCAACGGGTAGGAAGAACTCCGGATTAGAGTCATAGGTCACCTTGCCGTACGGATTTCGCTGTATCTCCTTGATGATCGTCCCCTCGGAGCTGAAGACTGCGACGGGAGACCCCAAGTGGTCGCACGCAACGTAGAATTTGTTGTTTCCTTGCTGCATATAAATGAGGTGACCTAGTGTGTCATAGATGAGCACGAACGTAAGCGAGTCCTTGGGGTAATGCATGTGCGTGATCGCATTGGGACGCTGAAGGTCGGCGTAAATAAACTGGGTGATGTTTCCCCTGTGGTCCTTTCGCGCTATGAGCCTGTTCTGCGCGTCGTACACGTACTGAACCTCGTACTGGTGTAGCTCAAAGGCATGGACGAGTTGACTCATCGCGTTGAACTTGAACTTCTCTTCTCCTCGCTGGACAATGAAACCGCGAACGTCAACAAGGTACAGCTCGACATCTCCATAACCAATGAGCCTGTCCCCGTCGTCGTGTCGCAGAGAAATCTGTCGCGGTCCTTCCCAGAGGCTTTTCATGTTCCCATTGATGTCGTAGATAAATCTCCAAGACTGCGCCCCGGACACTTCTTCCAAGAAGCCATCGACAGTGTAAGTGTAATTGGTGGTATGGCTGGCATGGTCTTTGCCTATCTTGGTGTGAACATGCTTGATCCTACTCCTGTTGTTGTACTGCAGACTAAGTGAGAAGATTTCCTTGTTCCACAATGTTATGGCGAGTACCACCAACCTCCCGTACGTATCCGTGCCAATGGTCTTCGAATACTGCCTGGCCTCATCTTGAATGAATATGCTGTTCAGCTTGGGCCTGTGCACGAGGAACTGCTGAACTTGTTCCAAAGTTCCAGACTCGCTGTTGTACCGGTACCTGGTCGTGATGGTGCTCTTTCCATTGATCTCTACCTCGACTGATGAGAGCCGAGGGTCATACTGATATCGGAACTTCGCCCCGTCTAGTCCGCTCCGGCTATTGTAGCGGTGACGTTCTTCTTTGAGGAGCGACCCGTGGTGGCGGTAGTCAACCCTGAAGTCCAGCCCTGGGACATTCTTTGTGATGCTTTTGATGAGAGCTGTGCTGTTGTGGTAGTAGAAGTCCGTTCTCTCAGGGCCGCACAAGATGCTTTCCAGCCTTCCTTCGTCAGTGTAGGTGTAGACGACACGACCTTTGTTTTTAGGGAAGAATTTGGCTAACAATTGTCCACGGTCATTGTAGTGAAGAACGTATGGATGTCCCACGCCAGGCGCCAGGTACAGCAGTTTGTAAAATCCTATCGATGTCTGCGTGGCTATTTCATGTTTGTGTCCGTTTGGAGTAATCACAGCTTGGAGACTTCCAGATACATCATACTGGAGAATGTAGCGACTGCCACTGGGAAGGATGATTTCCGTCGGCTGAAAAAAGAAATCGAGAAACACAAGCTGAGTAAGCTCTAAATTTAAACCAGGTGGACTAAGTCACACAGTGTAATTATTTAAAATTTCATTTCTGGGTACACGAGACATTCTTATTCTGGTTTAATTACAATGGTTATGTAACACCATGAAGTTACAGTGTTCAAGTAAGTGTTGGTTTTATAGAATTTTTTTGTACAGACACTGTTGTTCAAGCTTTTACATTTCTTTAACAACTTTGCATTACAACACATCAAGTTGTCCCATACACTTTGAACTAGAATGTTGAGCATGCTGGCCTTCGGTCATTGCGAACTTCGAAATGAACCCGGCTGGTTTTCTAAACAAATAGAAGAAGTACCTCTAGCCTGATAATGAAATAATAGTTCGCTGAGTGTCTTTAGTAATATATCTTTTATGACTGGAGCATATAATGAAAGTGCTGTCACTTAATTTGATACCAACGGAGAGCCACCGGCAATGCTAGAAGAAGGACGTTTGGTTAGGTTACCTGGCTAATAAATACCCCCAAATTCTTTAGTACTCCAGTAGTATATCCCGACATGTGGCCACTATCTACACCTCACTTCGGAGATGATCTATGCAGCGTATCAATTAATACCAATAATGCGTGTTGCGACAGTGGCTTCAGGGTTAGTGTGGCTGCCCCGGAAATTCGAGTTATGCTGTCTAGTTCCCTGCAGTGTATTATTTTATACCTGCACGAGCAAAAGATATTGGCAGGCAGCCAGAAAGCACAACTCACCACGCTGATGGGTCCATCATCGTACTTGTACATGATGCCGCTTCCGTCCGCGTACCGGACGTCGGCAAGGCGGCCGCGAATGTCGAACGAGTATTTCTCGCTTAGCTGGCCGCGCTCCCAGCGGACCAAGCGGCCGAATCGGTCGTACTCCAGAGTCACAGAGGTGACGTTCTGCGTCGGCTGCCAGCTCAGAGGGTGTCCCAGTGAGTCGTAGCGAACCGTGAGCAGAGCCAGCTGGTTGCGGTCATACAGCGTCTCGCTGTATTGCTGCCTGTCGAACTCAATGGCCAACAAGTTGTCACCGTTCACCTGTACGCGCATGGAAAAATAACCACCACTTTTAGAGTGACAAGTGTGGTCGCACACGTTGGCGAGGTGTAAAAACAGACTTCACTCGGAAGAACGTAGTGTTCTATCCTGTATATTTACGGTAACTATAAGCCCTACTCCTAATTAAGAGTCGATGTATTAAGGTGTTGATATTAAGTGCGCAACACAATGTCAAAACGGCACACCTGGAAGTAGTTTTGAGAACATTCAGTTCATTAAAAAAAGAAGAACAAATCAAAACATTACTTCGCCGTTATAAGAAGAACTTTCACATTAGTGAAGAAATCTGCACACGCCTATAATTGTCACTATCACAGAGAAGGTGAAAACGCACCGCATAGAGCCATAGCCTAAATTGATAAAACATAACCCTGTTTGGTTAGCAAGTCCTTGCCTTAGTCTAAGTTCGACTAGGTAATTGAAACACGTTTAAGTGGCATAACTGATTAGTCTGTGCTAATCTGCAGCATGATTTCTGGCACGTTTAGGGAGTCTCAGTCTAGTAGATGATCTGCGCGAAGTAAGCGACTGCGCACCTTCAGCTTTCGGCCGACCTGCATGATCTGCTTCTGACGTGCCTTGCCCTCGCGGCGCAGATAGTAGCGCCACTCGAAGCGCTGGTTCACATCATCGCTCAGGCTGATGCGCAGCTTGGCTGGCACCGGGAACGTCTCGCCCAACACGGGGCTTAGGTCGGTGATGACCGGATTGGCCACGGTCTCGATGTCTCGCGAGCTGGCGTCCTCAGACAGCAGCAGGAGGCTGCCATCAGAGGTCTGAGTGATTCGTTCTTCCGAAAGGCCTGCAAAGAAGACATCCGCGTTCTTCAGAAGATATAACACAATTAGCCTCTCTTTGACTCGCATATTTAGTTTTCTTAACATTGACGGTGCGCGCGCGCGCATGCGTGAAAGCTCTTTTTTTTTTCGATTTTTACTCAACTTCCAAACTTCCCCATCTTTCCCCGCTGTAGAAGAGCATATCAGTTCTTCCAAGCTGGTTAATAAACTTGCCTTTCCTCTATTTCTTTTCCTTCTAATCTTTGATCCTCCTTTGCGACAGTGGTTTCAGATGAACCTACTTAGCTTATCTTATGTCAATTTGTGCGATAAACGTTATGTTTAAAAAATAGTCACAGCTTTGCCGTAAAGGCGGAGCAATGAACGCGAAAGCAAGAAATTCTAAGGTCACGCGCAGAATGGCAAGCAGATCGAAATGTGCTCTGCGTTTCTCACGCACAAATGACACACAAAACGTACTCATAGGTACAGTTGTTCCTTCGCTGTGTCTGAAAAGCGCGCCCTTTTTGCAAACGGAGACTGTGCAATGATTGCAGTGACCTTTTTGCACCCGGTAACTACAACAGAATCGTTCCAGGTAAAGCCCGAAACCAGTCAAGACATACGATCCTCCCTGCAGCGAGATAAGGGTGCTCAAGGGAGTCTCCACCCCCCTCTTCGCGTGGGAGATAAGAGCCCGCGCTGCGCGATGTGGCAACGGGAACTTGTTGTATATAGGGACCTCAGGCGACGCGCGCTCATTGTGTCAGCTTGCTGGCAATACTGAAAACATGAAAGTTTGCCCCGAGATGCCTGTCAGCAGCGGTACCTGGTTGATATAAATAGCTTGCCGTTTCAACGAAGGACGTGCTTCTCTGTGGTTCAGTGGTTAACGCCTCGCATTCACGACGCAGAGGTGCCACGTTTGATTCCGCACCGGAGTTTTTTTTCCCATTATTTTTCTTTCTTGCGTTTACATATATAAAGATACGTATACATATACGGTGAGTGACGGCGACGCCGATGGCAATATCTAGGGGAGAGTTTCCATATGATTACTATCGCAATAATAAAATTAATAGAGTTCACATATTCATCAGCTAGGCTAAATAATTGACCAAATAACGTGAAAAAAAAATTACAAAAGTACGAAATATTCTGACGTAGTTTGAAGGTTTTATTAGCGACAGTATAATCACTTTTGTCTTTCAATGAAAATATAGTAGTACAAGAAAAGTACTAACATGCAATAGAAAACCAAGGTTATTGTTATTGTAAAGCTGGGTTTTCTGCAAAGATGGTAATCATGTGGCAAAGCTAAATAAAAACCTTCAGTGACGCTTTGCGCATTTGTTAACAATTAATTAGTCCTGAGAGTACTTTTTTCCTTTAAACCTATTTGTTTAAGCTGGTATGCGTATGTTGGGAAGTACCTTTAAATTTCACGTAGCATATATAATGCGGGATGTTCCCATGAACATCGCTCGTTAAGACAGCGTGTTCCAAAAGTCATGGTTACACTGCACGGCTTGCGTCATATTGCTAAGGATGAACGAATTCTAAAAAGAAAGTTAAATGGCAAACAAGATAGTTCCAGCCATAAAATTACAGAATAAAAATTTACTCATGTTAACAATACATAAAATAAGGAGGAACGCTCTTCTTTCTTCAAATAGAGCAGGATTTTCCTGACTGACTTGTTGCTACAGGACCCGACAGCCCGAAATTGAAGCAATTCCAGCAATGTGCCTGCCATCCAAAGTTTTCACAAATGGTTCGTGGATTAGGATATTTGAAGAAAATAATAAAAAGACTACAATAGTTGCTGAGCAATTTTTAATGTAGACGTTTGTTTACAGCTACATTATATAAAATGATAATTACGTCTTTACAGATAAGAATAATGTCATCTTCATTAAGGGACTGGTAACTTGTACATTTAAATAATGCATACTTCATCACTAACACCCATGTACATCATAACAAGCAAAATTACTCTCTCATATGTACGGATAGCTCAAAAATTACAACTTCTTACTGCCCAGTCAAAAGCGACAAATAAATGCTTTTGGGATTCAGCATTTAGGTCAACGATACGTTTTTTTTTCAAACTCGCGTAATATCAAGAAAAAAAGCCTTCTTCTCACCCATTTCAGTGAATGTGACCGTTTTGCTAATCTTAAGCAGGGGCGTTGGCAGAATTTTTTTTTCGGGGGTGGGGTTGGGGGGTTGTTCATGCACGGGCCCGGTTTGCCACCCACTGGCTACGCTGGTGATCCTAAAGAAAATCTATCTTGAATAAACAATTTTGAATGTCGCTTCAAGAGCACACGGAGGTCTTACCGATACGAGTGGTGACATCGGAGCCCTTGATGAGCAACGACACTGGGTCCTTGCCGTCGCGTGTAACAGTGACCGAAGCGCCCTTGGTGCTCAAGTTGTACGACAGCCGGATAGTCTGTCCGCTCGGAGTGATGGCCTCCGTCAGACGGCCGTACTCGTCGTACGCGTACACCACGGAACGGCCCGAGCTGTCGATCTTGCTGCGAACCAGGCCCGTGCTGCCGTGGTAGTCGAACACGGTCTTGAAGTTGTCCGGCGTCACGAAGCTCTGGAGCAGCTTCATGCGCGACATCTCTAGCTGACACTTAGCCCCCTGCGTGTTCTCGATGGTCTTCACGTGGTTGCTGTAGTCGCGGAGGATGTAGACCTTGTTTCCCTCGGCGTCCGTCACGGTATTGAGCTTGCCAAACGAAGTGTTCACGTTGTACGTGAACGTGTAGATCACCTTGCCCGTGAGTATGTTGCGCGTCGAAGTGTGCTGACCGTGTCGGTTGAACGTGTACACCTGCTGAGTCTCCGGAGAGTAGATTTCGTAGAGGTGCTGGTCGTTGGGCTTGGGAAGCGACGCAGTGACGGACCGGACTCGTAGGTTCCCCTGGTCACATACGTGAAGGATGCCGTCCGGCGTCACGGTTATCGACGACACAGTGCTCAGTTTCGATGTGGACGCGAGGAAGTGGTCTTCGTCGAAGCACTTGCAGTTGAGCTCGAGGCACGAGCACTTGAGTTCGGCGCCAGCGAAGCGACTGATTCGGCCGTCACTTCCCAGCACGCGCACGCGATTGACAAGTTGCGAGTCGGACTCGGCGATGTAGAGGTCGCCGTTGGGTCCGAAGGCGAGGCTCTGAGGTGCCTCGAGGAACACGTCCGTGGCGAAGTCGCTCCTCTCGCGTCCTGCGGTCGACGGACAGTGCAGTGGCCGGCCGGCGACGATTTTGATCCGTTTGTCTGGGGTTACTCGCAGGACCATGTGATCGTCGAGAATGTGGAGGGAGTTGTCGAGCGGGTTGATGCTGAGCTCAGTCGGCCACCGAAGGTTTACCTGCAATGAGTACAAAGGCCACTAAACGTTGTGCCCTCACTGCAGTCATAAATAACAGAGTTATGTTCAAGCCAGCTGCAAAGGGTGTTGAACATTTCGAAGTTTTGTACTGAAACATATATAAACAGTTCAAACCATAGAGCTTGACCAGTTTCCTTATAGTCTTTAAAACACAAGGCAATGTCAGTTTTTTTATGTCATACTACAACTCAAGCAATATACTTAGGCACGGAGAAGAAGAGAAAGACGGAGTGGCAAAGGAAAACGAAGGGGCGTTAACTAGGCGGCTACCATTTAGCTACAGCCCTACAAAACAGAATGGGTGGAGGGGAGATAACATAGCAAAGAAGAAGAGAGATGACAACTAATAGGCTCGCACGCATAGCAACGTACACCACGCTACACAGACACACAACATGTCTACGGAAAATGCAAACCTAACAATTGAAGATAATTATTGGCTCCACATGAGTAAACAATCAACCTCAGTAAAAAGATAAGCCCCTTTCTTTAGATCCTTATAAACAGCTAAGACATGATTTGCGTGGCAAGTTGCTCACCTGTGTGAGCGAGAATGTTCCCGTGCATGGGATTGGTTTCCAGTGGTTCTTGTGATAGTGGTCTCCGATGAGGGTGTGAATAATTCCATTTTTATCCACCATGCGAATGTTGGTGCCATCGGCGATGAAAATTTCGTTATGCATCGAGATAGCGATGCCTGTAAACAAAGGTATCACCATGAAAACATTACATTTGCTATGTAAACGAAGAACGCTGGAAACACTCGAATCATAGAGACGGGAAAGGTGCAGACATGCGTCAATGATTTTTACCTTTCGGATAAGCGAGCTTTGCATCCCTCGCCGGTCTACCGTCGCCGCACAGCATCTTGTCTCCGGGCAAGCATTTTGCACCATTACCGACGACGACCATCACGTTGTTCTTCACGTCCGGAATGTCTGTGTAGCTAACTATTTGAAGAATCTGGTATCTCTCGGGATCCGATAGGTACAACCTGCCATCGACTGGGCCGACGGCGAGGTGATATCTGTAGGCCACTTGCGCAGCACTGAATGGACGACACAACAAAGCGTGATTTAATATTAATGATATCCTTTCTTGAGCACATGGCACATCAGTATACTGAAATACGGAAAAGTTGACGCGGTGAAAACTATCGCACAGTGAAGCTGTAAAATGTGCAAGTTAATGATCGGCTTGCGAGATCACGTGCATCATTTCATTAACACTGCAAGCTGAGAGATTTGGTAAAAGATTGTACTTACTCGGGTAATGAACGAACCTTTTTTTCCCAAAAAATACGATAAAAGTTTGGGGGCATTTATTACGCAGAGAAAATTTTATGAAAACCTTTTCGTGTCGAGCAAAAGCTCTGGTAACGCAAAAAAAAAGGTTAGGTCAGTTAGCCTTTTGCAATCGACATGCACATACACTGTTTGTAAACAGCTGATTTGTTGCACTTCACTCATCTTCGGTGATTGTAGGTGCTATCTTCTGCAAGCTATCCTGGCGCTACCCGCGCACTCCATAAAAGCATTTCGGGGCTTTATTTCCTTACAATCGTTTAACCGCAACCGTGATATCTGTTGTGATCTCGAGGGGCACCAACAAGCGTGCGCTACGACGCACCAAGCCAGCTTTGTGGCAACATCGCACGACGACCGTGACGACACCATTGACATTGCACTAAGCTACCACTGAAGCATCAAAACAAACCATTGATAATAAGATTAATGACAAAATACAGCTGCCGCCTCATTGTTCACATTAGAAGTTACTGTAGAAAAGGTGGCCTATATCTTGCGTTCCATAAAGTACGCGCGGATAACAAGCATGAAGTTAAAATTGCAACCAAATTGAAAGTCGGGAGTGCTACAATGTTGCAGAAATTGTTACAATGTTTACTGGGTGACAAGCGATTTTGTCTGGTTAACCGGAAACCTGCTGCGCGATAGCGATGAATGGCCCTTCGCCTCAGCCATGGCGACAACAAACCCGATGTCCTCGCTCAAAAATCACGGGCATGTGGGTGGGCCATGAAGTTATGTATTTCCAGAAAGCGACCGTCAGTTGGCGTGGGAAATTTTGTGACCTTCGCTCGCTATGTGATTGTCAGCTGCGATGTCTCTACACTCGCACCATTCGTGAACGCTAATGTGGCACAGGGATAATAAAAAAAGACAGGACATGCGGCGCGCAGATAGAACAATACAGCATGCGGCAGCGGGCGACGGGGGGGGGGGGGGGGGGAGCGAGCCGCGGTGGCCGAGCAGGCTTGGCATAATGATAAAAGAAATGAAGAGATGCAACGAGCAAGGAGGTGCCAGGTGTCTGCTAGGGGGACTGCAGTGGACGAATATAGGGGGTGCGTCTATTACGCGGGAGAACAAATAAACCTCAGATTTTGAATACTGAAGTTGAGGGTGCGTTTATATCCTAAGTGCGTTCATTACGCGAGTAAATACGGTAAGATAAACGTGCAGGGTGGCACATAAGCATGAACAAACAGGCGACACGAGCGCTGACTTCCACCTGAGAATGATGACTCACATCATTATTTATATCACCATCGTAATCACTTTAAGCACCATTATAGTCATCATTTACCATTATTATCACGATCTTTACTCTCTATCTCCTCGGTCACGTGACATGCGTAACTACTGCTACGACGACGACAGCACAGGATAGACAACGACAACCTTGCTGTAAAAGCACGTGAGTATCGGCTGCTTATATGAAACGAAAATCATTTGGACAATAGTTTATTGTAAAAATTGATAATATCCACGTCTCACCTGAGCTCTACTATGGTGCGAATCTTGCCATCAGTGGTGATTTGTCGAATGAGGTTGAAGTCGCCGACGTAAATGGAGCCGTCCGGTGAAGAAGCCAACGCGACGGGTGCCAGCAGCCTTTGTTCTTTAGGCGATTCCGTTGCACTGCTGGCAGTGAAGCGGCCTCTGCTGACCAGTCGCCCACGGCTGTAAGCATCACCTTCGGCTTGTTCTTCAAGTAAATGTTCGTTCCGTCTCCTTTCTGGAGGATACCTAATAAAGAACGAAGAACGGCAGAGCCCGATAAATGTTGCGCGAAACCGAAAGCAGCAGCGTCCACTTAGAGTTTGTTCTCCACTGCAACCAACTCTCACCTTCGTGAAAGTTGTATCGGTGATGAATGTCCAGGTTCCAGCCTCCGATTTCGGATATGCTCATGTCATGCCCACTCACTTGCTGTCGCTTGCACTTCCCATATTACGGATGGACAATTGCTGTATTCATAACCGACATATACTGAAAAATACAAGGCAACGATAAGTTAGACAACGATTGAACCAACTTAAAAGTATAAGCTAACTGCATTATTTGTTCATTTCAGCACTGCACTTTTTAAGCAAATTCAGAAATTAAAATAGAGTGGCAACTATCTCTCAAACACAGTGCCAACTAAGTAGATGCAAATCCACGCGGGAAATTGTAAAAGTAATGTTATCAACTGGTGCATAGTAGATGTTGCTAATAACTGCATGCTTTTTCAAGTTTTACAGCAAGTTATATTGGTCTACAGTATATAGTAAATGTTTTTAGCGCGTATGGTATTCCAGTGTACATCGATGGTTTTATGTGGTGTCAGGTTACAAGATCGTCGTCTTCGGGCGCTTCGTGCAACCCCAATTATAGACATGTTATTTTGCGCCTAGGGTTCTTGAGAAGAAAAAAAGGGGTTAACAAGGTGACGCATTCGGAATTGCACGACTGCAAGAAATTTACACCCGCAGAGAAATAGACTCATTTCTTCAATAACAAGTTAGAGTTTGCTTGGTTCATCTCAGCCCTGTCACGTTGCTCACCTGTCCTACCTCTCACGTTTACGGCTGTAGTATATTGGCATATCGCTAACACAAAGACGTTTGTGGACAAGCTAAAAGCATCCAATGCTGACAAGAATTAGGACGTTTCTGCAATTGAGTAAAGAATACCAGATCCGCAATGAAATTGTAATATTTAGTTATCCTGAATTACTTCACTGTCTACGCTAATAGGCATTATCTGATTACCTGTCGCAACAGCAACGCCATAAACTTTCTGCCTGTAAACGTTCCTGCGGTTCCAGGCGTAAGTGAACTTGATTCCTGGGTCAGCTTCAAACTTCTTCTCAAAAAGGATGCCCTCTATCGATATCTTGAGATGGATAAGCCTCAGTGTCAGTGGAATGGTTTCGGGAGTGAGCTGGAGTTGAATGGTGGACAGGTAGCCGCCAGCCCTGCTGCTGTGGTAGACGAGATGCAGCGCAGTTCCAGGTATGGCAATGCTTTCTTGCACCACCTTAGAAGCAAGCAAAGCAGGGACAGGGCAACGTGATTGTCAATGCTCAAATCGTCTCTGCATAAGGTAGATGACACATAAAAATGATCAATCACGCGAAATGTACATTTCAATTCCTTTTATTTACATAAATGAAGAAGACTTAATTAGAAAAAAAAAGCCGACGTTTAGCCGATTGAGTAAGAGCTCACATGGAAGCGATTCACCTTTAGTTTATGTGCCTCTGTGTCTCAGCCACATCATTTTTGATATTGCTCCGCCTATTCGTCCCACCAGTCTTGCTTAACAGCTTTTCAAGAAAATTCTTGTGACCGAGATGAAAGGAAGGAACGTAAGAATAGGCGATAGAGCAAAGGCAGGCGTGCTAGCTAGTCTAGAAAACTCAGAGTTCCTTTATACATTTACCTAACATGACTAAGGTGAAATCCATCTTTTTTTTTTGTTCTCAGCTGACCGTAATGATTATCCCACCCCAGAAAGCTTTGTTCGTATAGCGTGGCTTTGCACTGCCTCCAAGATCGAAGGCATTGCACACTTTCTGCACCTCACGTGGCTCAGGAACCGAGACAACTGGACAAAATGGTGTCACGCGTGATGACATCAGAATGATACCACGATTATGCCATGACGACGTCACAAACTTTGGTGACTTGTGACGTCGTCGCATGATGATAATTTTTACACCACTCGTTGATTGGCTTCAGCGTTTAGTGAAGCATCTAGGGTAATTCGCTACCCTACACTGGGGAAAGAGAAGGTGTTTAGGCGTTGCGTACCTGCGATTCGGCTAGGACTGCGCTTCTCTCCGGACACCCTCCCTGGAAACCGTGCTTCCAGGTGGCCAGTACGACGGGTCTCATGGTGTCATAGTCATGGTCACTGCAGGCAAGGCCTCTGTTCTCCAGTGCCTTGTTTTGGCTGAGGCTCATGATCACCTTCTTCATGACAACGATCTCATTCCAAGGCACCATCACAGTCCGCTCGTGAAGATCGAAGGGGTCCCGTCGAAACTGCAGGGTCACTGCTCCGCCACCATTTACCATCAAATCGAACCTGAAGTGTGAAAATAAGCAATAGAATCATATTTTAGCAGGCAGATGGGGTTCGGGTGAAGAAGCATTGATCCCAATAACATAATCTGTATCAAAACGCCCCTAGGATTATTTAAGCTACGATAACGCGCAACGATGTGTGATAGGTAGCCACGCTTACGAATCATTACAATGAAAAACTTCTTGCATCCGAAAAGTGAGGCAATGATAGCAAACAGCAATATATTATCAACCAAGTAAGGTGATGTTCGCATATTATTGGATTTATATGTTGCAAGAAGATTCCCTTGCTAAATAAAATTTATAACTGTGGTGCCACGCACGCGCATACAAACGTAAGTCAATGGCAGTGAACTATGGCGAGATTAGGCAGCGAATGGTCCCCTGAAGCTCTCGAAGTCAACAGATCTGCGCGACATGCGGCAGACTCAACATGCTTCCCTAAGTGGGCTTGCGATATTGTCCAATAATCCGACAGCTAGAGTACCAAGCCAGGTGATAAGCCGGACTAGCACATCGGAAATTTGATTGAAGACGGCTGCCTCTATCTATACTATCCCCTCTTTTTTCCCCTTTATCGGCTTCTCCAGTGCCGGGTAGGAAACCGTACATTCGCCTGGTTAACACCCCCTGCCTTTCCATGTTTATCTCTCTCTTGGACGAGATTAAAATCGCAAACATAGGTAAGCAAGCGTGTATAGTGTTGATTGATATGTGGTGTTTAACGTCCCAAAACCACCATATGATTATGAGAGGCCGTAGTGGAGGGCTCCGGAAATTTTGACCACCTAGGGTTCTTTAACATGCACGCAAATCTGAGCACACGGGCCTACAACATTTCCGCCTCCATTAGAAATGCAGCCCCCCCGCAGCCGGGATTCAATCCCGTGACCTGCGGGTCAAAGCGTGTATAGTGTTGCCGCTTGCTTCAACGCGCCTCCAAAACAGAGATAACACGAGCGCACGCGAAGGCACCAACCACAGATAAGACAGGAAAACGAGGACAGCGTCGTCGTTCGGTTTCAACGACCGACGCGGTGCGAAGACTACAGGCGCGCTCAACGCTTATCACTTCCTCTCCCCTTACGCTCATTCACGTTAGACCCCCCTCCCCACCCTTATTGCAGGATTGTTTGCACGCTCTCCTTCGACACCACAGCACGCACTTCACGCAGTCAGAGACAGAATTTCATCGCACTTGGCTTTTAAATGGTCCACCACGAAAACGCAGAGTTTTGGCTCGGCGCACCCACAGAAACTATAATCACGACAAAACAGCCCGATAACAGTTCTACCAGGCTTGAATAGCCAGTATAAGCGAACCTTTGGCATACAAAGATCGTTAACACATTCCGTCAACAAAGGTCCACACCGATGAAAAACTGATTAAACTTTGACGTTCCGGCGCAAACGAGTATTAGTTAAGCCAAACGCAAAGTATGCCATGACTTCTTTTACTTCAACTGTTGATGATTTGTTTAATTCGGCGCGAAATGAGTGTTTCTGCTATAGATCTTCCTCGCCCACACTCAAAGGAGAACAATTACGCCAATGCGAACGTCAAACTTAAAAAAAAATACGTACCATCCGGAATCTCTTGTAACCGTGAAGCCTATTAAGCCGTCTCCAGCAGTACCAACTCTGATTCCTTTGAGTGGACTTCCCGAAGAACTTACAACTTGGCCTCTGACTACCGAGGCACGGCTGAAATAAAGAAACACACAATTTAATGATGACTGCTATCAAGAGCACCGAACAAGTTTATTGTGAGTGCCTAGAGATTTCATCGGTGCAACATAACAATATTTACACTGAAATGATGCAACAAGCCACATAAATTCAGGACTGGACATTTACGAGACAGACTTGCAAGGTAGGTTTACGACATAATGACATTAGCACATGCATGCGGGACATGGCAAACAGAAGCACTCATGCATCCTTAAAGACAATGCATAATCAGTCGAGATAAAAGAGATGCCTTCAAAGAGTACTTGGTTGTAGATGCTTTGAAAGAGAAACTTTTTGAAGGCTGTGTTGTCCAGTGAAAAAAATTAATTCTATGTCGGCATGTTCGTGCTTTTCAAACGACATATTTCTAAGTGCATGCATTCAGTTAACACGGTCCTGTCAGAAATTTTCCGAGTTGTATTAAGCGTATAACAATAGCACAAAGAAGACAACCTTCAAAAAGAGAAATTATTGGCGAATGTATTACGCTCATAAGTAGCTCACGGCAGTAGCGTGTAAGAGTTTGTGTTAAAGCGAACACGACTGGCAACAATTAGTCACAAAGCAACACCTAGCATGCATACAGGCAAGATAATGAGATAGCGAAACACGAACCTACCTTGCATTGAAATGATTCCGTATCGCACTGAAGCAGCAGGTAAAGAAAGGAAGTCTTTGGTTAATTGATGCAGAGAAAAGAGAGAGGCATGCACGCTGACGGCGCACAAGTTAGCGAGCTTGCGCATTTTCGCATGCACTGCGCCTGAAAGCAAACAAGACAAGGACTGAAGACATTGCGTAGCACTGATTCACAGGTAGCATTGCGCGTGTTACACAGCATTTGCTCGCAGGTTGTTACAAAAGCTGACAGCGAACTATTAGCTGAAGCTGCTTCAGCTAAAATAAAAAGGAAGAATGCTAGATAACCACACACTGACAAGCTTTGCTTAAGAAAAAATACACAGTCGTCAAAATGTACGCAACACGAAGACGGTGTCTTGGATCGTGTACCTGTCATTGAAAGAGTCCTTTTTGGCGTAACTCTGCACCGAGTCTTCTTCAATGAGGAACTGCATCCTTTGAAAGAAAGAAGCCGTCACTGCCGGCGGCTGCTTCCGCAGCAAAATGTCCAGCGGGTCGGAGGACGAGAAACAGAGGGGGTTCTTTGTGCAGGCCTTGTGTGAGCAGCACTCGCTGTCGGCGCAGTCGGTGAGGCCGTCTGTAAAAAATAAAGAAAATGAAACAGAATTTGAAGAAGTTATTGGCCATTCGTTAAAACAACCAACAAAAATATCAAGAGAAAGACAGGAAAAAAAAAGCAATTACAGTTAGATGTGAGCTGCATTTACACTATCTCCCAGGTGTGTGTTTGTTTCTCTCGGACGGATAATTGACGACAATAAAATAATTTGATGATTTGATATGTTAGTTCTAATGGCACAAAAGCCATGCTTGTAAATAAAATAATTTCACAAAGCTATGTTTCGGTAGTTCTCTCGGCATTAATGTTGTTTCTTACAAGCCTCTAGCATTTCGTGTACACCGAAAAGCACCCGCCGGGCCTGTGATTGAACCCACGTCCTGTGGTTCAACAGCCGAGCATCGTCAACACTAATCAATCAATCAATTAATCAATCATTCAATCATTCAATCAATCAATGATTCAAACATTCAACTAATGCGATCTACAGATTTATACTGTAGGGTAAAAAGGACTACTTGCCATTGTCGTTGTCGATGCGGTCATCACACGTTTTTTCCATAGGAACGTTGCAGTCTGGACCATCCCAGCCGTTGTGGCACTTGCACCTGCCAGTCTCCGTCAGACATGATGCAGTCTCCATGACTGTTGCAGCTATGAGGACAGCCCTCTGTAAGCGGGAGACAGCATCAAAGAAAGGCTCAATAGGACAGTTTTACTGAAGCGAGAGTAAGTGGCGCAGAAAAAAAAAAGTCGCCGTTTCGTCGCCAAGGGCGAAGCAATGAATGCGATAGCAACCACTTGGTATGCAATGATGAGGACAGCTAGCAGATCGAAAAGTGCAGCGCGCTGCTCAAGCAAAAGTGACGCACCAAAAGAACACACACAGGACGAGAGCTAACTACAACGTTTACAGCTCGACGCTTAATGTGCTGTTTGAAAAAAAAAAGACGACGCACGAAACGTAATTCCTGGGACAGATATGAGTGAGAACTAACGATTGTCCCAGTTTATTACTTCGCCTGTGCTTGAAAAGTGCGCTCTTTTCGCTAACGGGGCCTGCCCAGTGAGCGAAGTAACCTTTGTGGCCCAGGCAACTAACGCAATCGTTCCGTTGAAAGGCCAAGGCAGGAGTAGGAGAAAAACTACTTCAACAGAGGAGTTTGGAAGCACGCAGGCTCCTGGGCTCCCGCACGATCCCGCTGCGCTCCAGCGTTCATTTGGTGGTGCTCTATGATGCTGGAAGCCCGGTCGGCCGCCATTGTCTGCTCAACCGAGTCCTCTGAACGCAGTAGGGTCCTCCCAGTCCTCCCAGGTCCTGAGATGTTCTAGGGCCGGAGGGGGAAGATCCGCCGGGCAGAAGAATGAGATTCAGGGCAGAGGGTACAGGCTGGTGGTGATAGTGCGACAGAATGAGAGGAGAAAGAAGAGTGCGAGTCTGTAGCTGGTTCCAGAAGGTGGCCTGTCGGTTGCTGAGGGACTTGTGCCATGGAGGATAAAGCTGACGCTGTGGCCGATAGGCCTGAGTCAGCTCGTTGAAATTGTGTGCGCGCTCCTTCTTAAGTCCGAGACCGGAGGCAACCAGTGCCTGGTTGAGAGAACCTCGGGCTAAGAGATTGGCGGCCTAGTTTCCAGGAATTGCAGGAGTGCGCAGGCACCCAGATCAACTCCACATGACGGGGCTGGGCTGCAGCGGGCGAGTCCAGTATGCAAAAAGCAGGGACGTGAACTCGGCCTCGCAGCGAAATTTAGAATTGCGGTTTTGGAATCGGATAAAACATACCGTGCTTCAGTGTTAACAATTGCTAAGGCAATAGCAGCTTCCTCTGCAGCTTCGGGGGAGGTGTCCGGAAGAAGTGTGTGTGTACCTATTGGGGAGAGTGAGTGATCGACCATGGTGGCGACCGCTTCATTGCCCACGCAGGCTGCGTCCACCCATACGGCGTCCGGTTCGGAGCCACGACACCTGTGTAGAGTTCTAGCACGAGCTCGGCGGCGTTTATCATGGTGGCTGGGGTGTATGTTACGGGGAACTAGTGTAATGAGGAGTTCTCGGTGCAGGGGTCTTGGTTTGGGGAGTAATGTCGGATTATTGGCCGGTATCTGGATCTCAAAGAATGCAAATTATTTCGTACCGTGGCAGTTTGTTTGAGGAAAAGGTATTGCGCTTGGCAATGCGCGTCTGTAGGTTCCCCGACACTGTTGTGAAGGCCCAGCTTGAGAAGCCGATCAGTGGTTGTACTTATGGCAAGGTGGAGGGCTACTTAGTATGTCCAACGGATGAGGGCATCCGGGGCGTCAGTGTCTCGGCGAGATAGTTGGAGGTATGGAGTGGAGTAGAGCAGGCGGATGAGTACGAATGCATGAATAAGGCTACATAGGTCACAATCCTTCATGCCCCGGCGGTGACGCGGGACTCGGTGGATCAGGTGCGAGATTGCCCATACACGATTCTCCCTGCCGAAAGATAAGCGCGCGCACACAAGCACCTACACCCCCCCCCCCGACCCCATCCGCGGGGCACGCAGATAAGCGCGCGTCGGCCCATCGTGACGAGCTGGGCGCTGAGCGCGGGCGGCTCTTTTTCTTTCTTGAGTTTTCGTATATAGATACGTATACATATGCGGTGAATGACGGCAGCAACGGCGAAAACCAGCCGATACTGTCGATATAAATTCTATTGCAATAAAAAATTAACCGAAAAAGTCAAGCCAGTCCCATGCAAAAACCAGTCGAGACTGTCCATATAAATGCAACAGCAATAAAGAAAATTATTCGAAAAGTCAAGCCAGTTCCATGCAGTGAAATTTTTTGAACCAGCAAAGCATTCTCGTGTCAAGTCCCGTTGCCACTAGCGGCGAGGGGCTTCCTGGGGCGTAGGAGGAGTCATGCCCATTTTCGGAAATAGCAAGACGCACACAAACTTTGAGCTCTTACATCCTTAGACGATCGCCTCTCCTACTTGTGCCCAGCCCGGCCTCTCATTGGTTATCGCCTTCCCAGCGCGCCTCTGCGGCCAGTGCCACCTAGAAATATCGCTTCGCTTGCGACCGAGGCAGTCGTGCCAGTTATGAGTATCTGGGAGCCGGAGCATTATTGTTCCTATTCCCTCCTATTTCACTCGTCCAGCCAAGCCACATAACTGCGGAACTAAACAAAAAAAAAAGAAAGAAACTTGGAGGAAGCTTGAGCTTTTATTTGAAGAGATGAATGCTACAGCGTAACCAGTGTTCGTACCACCTTCCTAATCTCTAGCCTCATGTTCACCAAAGAGATGGACGCTTGGTGGTTGAGCAAAAATGCATCGCACCACGGAGCGAGAGGTTAGAGGGTTCGAGAACCCGGTGCGATTCGAACGAAATATTTTAAAAAATATTTATTTGCATCTACCTTGAATTTCCACTCACGGGCAACGTCGATTTTTCACCCACAACCAAAGACGCCGTCACAGAAACGGGCTTTTTAACGCTCTCGCGTCGAAATGGTTTGCTCACCGAGCGTGCAGTGCCGACCATTCCAGCCTTGTATGCAGAGGCACGTGCCGTTCTTGCACTGGCCGTGTTCGACGCAGCGGATGTCGCAGAGCTTCTCGTTGCATTTCAGTCCAGTCCAACCGTCGATGCAGATGCACTCGCCCCCCTGGCACCTTCCGTGTGGGCCGCAGTCGAGATCGCATTTCTCTGTAAGGTGGTGCAACATCAGTTCCCGTATCATGCGCCACAAACTGGCACAGCCGGTGTCACGAAACTGCTTGAGGAACATCAGTCTAGCTCATTCTAGTCTACAGTACTCCCTTAAAACAGGTATATAGAAGTGTAATGCACACGCCACAGGTGCATGTTGTTAGAGTATAGAAGAGTTGCTTGTTAAACAAGTTGGTACATACTTAGCAAACTACAATAGCCACGAAATGCCGAAATCGTAAAATCAGAGCAGTAGAAACAAAGACCGAGAGCAGTTAGTTCCACGTCTCTGCTCTCTGTTTCTACTGCTCCGCTTTTTCCGATTTCGACGTTTGTGGTTGCTGCTCCTTAGCAGCAACATTTGATTACAGCCCTCTGGTTAATCATTTGGAATTTCGCATCACCCACGGCCATATGACTTTGCGTAGTCAACGTCGTGAAACATTACGTCCGAAATCGTATTCACACTCTTATTGCATTGAACACTTGATATCTCACCATGGACTTGACACATGTGGATGCATTTGATTACACTCCAAATTGAAGTACAGACACTCTAGAGTGTAAGTAGAACTAGGATAGCTTGCTTTTGTAAACCCCCAACCGAGGCACGCGTGTTGGGTTGTTTAGGCATTAACATAGGTTCGCATCAGAATTGAGCTGACCGCTCAATTTTAATGCGAATAGAACTCGGGAAGATAAGCTGGTTTCGTCATTTACTTCTACCAGTAGGTAATTTTAACCTACGCACGCTTGACCATAGATGGCTTCACCTCAGTGTTTGCTGCTGTATGAAGACCCAGCCACTAGCTTTGCGTCACCGCTGTAGTTGCTTCACAAGGCAATGACCTCACTCTGAAAAGCACGCTTAACTGACCTTGGGAGCAATCTGGTCCAGTCCATTGGTCGTCGCAAACGCACCGCTGAAGGTCCAAGTCGAACTGGCCCGTGTCCCGAGCAGTCGGCAGACAGCGGAGGGCGTCGCTGTCGGGCTCACTGCAATCGTTGCTCTTCCAGCCCTTGCGGCACAGGCACATGCCACTCACGCACACACCGTGACCAGAACACTCGGGGTCCAAGCAGTCCACTGCGGCGACGGCAATCACGTGAAATACAGAGCCGACGTGCATCGTCGCGCAATGATCTAGTGAACTGTCTAATCCGTTTGCCGTGTGTTGGAAGGATTCCGCGGAGTACTCCTTTGCCAATACGGAATGATAGAAAAGCTAGATTGTGTGGGGAGCACTGAAGCGTTGCACGATTTGGACTGCCAAGTCTGGTTGGCTTTCCTGCTCTCAGCTCCTTACTCTCGCCGTCTCGGCACACCAAGGTTCCGATTTACAGCGAGTGCAGTACTGCTAATTCTCTACGCAACACACAAATAATCAGTTTCCTTGTTGCACGGAACAAAGAAAGGGTTTCTGTTCAGGAAACTTGCACACCTGTTCTTCACTTCATTGACAGAACAACTTGTCGATGACGCTTATCTATGGTGCTGCCCGCAGACAACCCCATATCTCTCTTGAGTATAGCCAAGAATTCTACTAGAACTACCGATTTAGGAGCAGTTATGGTACCCTTAACATCCTACCATTTCCTCACATCTTCGCTGAATAGTGCACTGACAAATATTCGACAACTACACCACGCATGAAATTTGCACTGCGCGAGTTGGCGGCGCAAGAAAAAGCCAAGAAACCTACCTTCTTCGCAGTGGACGCCTTTGTAACCGGGAAAGCATCGGCAAACGCCGTCCAAGCAGTCCCCGTGACCCGAACAGTCTGCCACCTCGCACTCGTCTTCACGCAGCTGACATTCACGGCCTTTCCAGCCAGGCTGGCAGACACATTCGCCGCTGGTGTACTGACCCCTCCCGCTGCACAGCACCGGGCACACGCCTATGCGAAGTAATAAATGTTTCGTTTGAAAATCGCGGAACAGTTCACATACTCACTGCTTAATGCGACGCTGTCAGAAGCTCGACATTGCTGCGATGGACGACGCACGACATAATCACGACCACTGTTATTGAGCTTATGTTTACTATACCAGACGACGGTGCTACTTATTGCGAGAGTGCGTCTAACCACCCCTGCTCTGGCACAACGCAACCCACGTGCCCGAAAACTTCTTAAGTTTATCCAATAACTGCACTGGCTATAAAATTATTGACATAGTTCGCATAATTCACCCGTAACGGTTGGTGGAATTCAGTTTGAAGATTAGGAAATGAGGCTTACAGAATCGACATCATGATATTTCGTTATATCACCACACAAATAAATATTTCTTAAATAAGAGCCTACGAAGATATATTAATCGACTAGAACGTCACACAACACGTGGAGGTCAAATAATGCGCTATAAAAAGTCAGTTTTGCCGCAAAGGCGGAGCAATAAACGCGATAACAACAAACTGGAAGGTCACGCGAAGAATGGCTCGCAGATTTAAACGTGCCCCGCATGTCTCACGCACAAATGACGCATGAAACGTAATCACAGGTACAGCTGAACGCGAATAACTTATGACAAATGGTACAGAACATGCAAAACATGCATAGCCGCTATCTAGCTGCGTCTCAAGAAGCTATCTCGGAGGCTATGTATACTCGTGCGCATGTCGTCAAGTGTAGTTCGTTACTGTGGCAGGGATCAATGCACAAAATCAGTTTCACCGAAAAGGTGAAGCAATGAACGTGATAGCGACAAATTGCAATGTTATATGAAGTGAGGCTGGCAGCCAACTCATTTGGATCCGATCTCACGTAACTCTACAAAACACTGATGTAAGAGAACACGGCCACTCTATGTACACTCTTGGCACCGTTTTTTAGTGGTGAGAGTGCAGCCCGTATAAGCCCCCGCCTGCTGTAGGGGCACAAGGCGCAAGCTGATTGTTGCCGCGATAGCGCGGCAATCATAAGCGCCCCCTCTTCAACCCTTTCGTTCACTCACGAGATAAGCGCGCGCGCGCTGACGACCGCGGCCAGAAGGCGATGTTCGCTCCGCAAAAAGAGAAGGATAGTGCATCCTAACATGTATGTATATACATACATATGCATATACGTGAATGACGGCGGTGACGATGGAAAAAACAAAACAAAAATAGCCGAGACTGTTCATATAATTGCTATCGCAATAATACACTTAACGGGTACTTACGGTAGGCGCAAGATTCGCCCGCATAGTCCTGGTCACAGTCGCACTTCCCCATGTTGCAGGTTCCATGTCCGTGACAGTCGTAAGGGCAAGGAAGGCTCGATACATCTGGATGGCGGGATAACAAGCAACAGTCTATGCAAACCTCAACCGTGTAGAGAAGCATACGACATTCCACTGGGGCCATTTCAACTTATCCTTTCTTCCCTTGTAGCTTTAAACAACTCCTACCTAATGTCGTAATCAGTTTTGGTCTTATCGACTGCCGATTACGCTAGATTATTTCGCGCAAGTTGGCAGAGAGTGAAGAGCCCACGGTTTCAGCAACAAACAAGCAAACTGGTCTTTTCAAGCGTAGTAGTCGGGCTGGCTCTTATTCAACAATTTTATTGATGTCACATTTTGAATCCTTCGATTTATTGTTGGGGACACTACGGTATCAAAAGAGCCGAGTGAACGACAACGCTAACGTAAATAAAGATCGCGGTAGCTTACCAGTGGCCACGCTGACGAAAGAGATTTCTTGCTGCTGATCTCCGTCGTTGTAGACTGAAATGTACCAGCGGCCGTGATCCAAGAAGTGTATGAATTCCATGCTGAAGCTCTCCTGCTGTTGAGACGGGTGACGGAAAGAAAAAAAAAAGAAAGGAAAACGAACATGTGAAGCCTAATAAATGTAGAGCCCTCGTGCACACTGCCGCGCATATTAGCCTCGAGAAGGAATACGTTTTTAACGTTTTTGTGACAGATTTCTCGCGTTCCACGTCGTGATTTTACGCTACAAAAGCACGATATTCTTGTTAGAGACACCACAATGTTGGCCTTCGGAGATTTTGGCTAGCCGAGGTTTTCAAACGTGCGCCCTAAACCTAAGCATACGCAGCTTTCACCTCCATCGTAATGCTGCAGCTGCGACCGAGACTCAATCCCGCGACCTTCTGGTCACGTGCTATAGAAAGAACACGTAGGCGAAAGCGCGTATGGTCTCACGACACACTATAAATTGCACTAAAGTTCACGCTAGATTGCAGGATCACCACATTGACTGCACATCATGTAATAAACAGCACGCACACGCACAACGAAGTGAGGCGTTATGGGTTCGTCAGATTACATGAGGTCTATTTGGGTCCCGTCGCGCTGTTAAGCTTTCCCGTGAACCTCTGCGCCACTGTCGGAGCCGATCGTGCTTCAAATGGCTCAATTTCAATTGAAAGTTCAGGTTGGAAGGGTACGCACCTTGGCCGCCTTGCGGTGTCGTCTGTCCCGCGCCGACAGTATTTCCGCGAAGTCGTACCGAGTATGGGTGGGCACGCTGTTCCGACGTCCGTAGATGCCCACACTAGCGCCCGTAGGTAGCGTGTAATTGAACTTGACTAGTCCGGGCTCCTGTTGATTGAACTGAACGTTCCAGTGACCATACGAGGCCACCACTTTACTGTGGCGCTTGCCGATGGACATGTCGGCGAACGACTCGCTGCTGCTCGGCGGCAACGTCTTGGGAGGCAGTAGAGACGGGCCTGTAGGGCATGCAAGCAACTATGTCACGATCCGTGGTATGCCATTGAAACATTGTTTTCTACATCTGACAGAGTCTTGGGCTGGTTCGCTGGTTTAGCACCGACACATCGGCACAGCGCAAATTAAGCAATTAAGGACGGGTGAAATGACAAAACACAGGCATAAGTTGTCTCTTGATCGGTCCTTGTGTTAAATTTATGCGGTGCGAGCATCCTGGTTTTCACGCCTTTCTGTCACTTAGAAAACATTTATATATGCCGATTAAAGACATATCCTGCTTCATCTTCATAAACAGCGTGTGCATAATCAATTTTATCAAAAGCTCCGAAACGACTGCCTCCGTGACGCAATCGGCTACCGCTTTCGGCACTTAACCTAAAAGCTCCGAATGCACAGATCATGTTTGCGAGGTGATTTATCAGACTACTATTCGGAAGGCCAGATGTGCCACATACAGAAACTCTGCAGGCATGCCCAGATACAGAGCTTGCCAGCTTGGGGTCGCTTTAAATGTTATTTGTTTCTTGACTTTACGGTAAATTCATGCAGAAAAACGTTCACGACTGACATAGTGCCAAGTAGGAGAAACTCACTTTCGCGACAAGTTCTAAGTTTGTTTTTCAGATTTAGAGTAAATTTTATCGGAAAAGTTACGCATCTAATTTTAGCTCTGAGTTGGCTAGTAAGTGGTGATGTTAATGCTTTAGTCATTGTTTTTGGTCCAGTACAAAAGCTGCGCACCGAAAAGCATCGAGTCGCAGTGTAAGGTTCATGCGGAATACAATATTTTGCACATCAGCGAAGGCAGTATTCTTGCAACTGCAACAAATTTACACGAGCGGAATCATTTAAGCTTAGGCGTAAGGTGTCTGGTTGCCTGAACGAGAAAACCGACTGCAATAGCACTCTTGGCAACTTACACCAGCGCTCCGTTTTAATACAGAACAAGGTAAAGATAGTATAACACCTGTCCTATCTTTACGTTGTTCTGTATTTCTTTTTCGGTGCTATGGTTTCTGCGGCACAATGAGCTAAGAACACACCCAAACTTTCTCTTTTTTGCACCGTTTCATCCAACCGCTGAGATCCCCGAGTACCTGGTGCGTGCACATCGGTACGATTTGTTGTAGCTGATAGCTACCACAATAAAGAAAAACACAAGAAACAGAAATTTAAAGAAAACAGAACAAATACCGCGTTATAAGCATGACACATATCTGAAAGCACACGACGCGCTTGTGTAACGAAGCGCGCAAAAAGCTACCAGCCGACAGTTGCGAGAGAAGGACAAGCGATTAGTACGTGTACGGTACAAGATGACAATGACACGCAAGCGTTTCACAAGATCAAGCGCTGCTCCGAAAAAGCGGACGAACGCAGAACATACCGATAAGCGGACAAGAAGCGTGAATGGGGTTAGGACCACCGCTGCTGGAGGCGGAAGAGAATGGCGACAAGGACTCAAGCGGAAAATCGCGTAGAACTCGTTGTGCAGAGGCCAGGCAGAAAAGGAAGCGTCTGTGTTCCCTCCGGTTCGATCACAATGGGGCTCGACTCCAAACGCAAGGGCGTCAGGCCTGCAAAGCTTTCGCCCTCTCACGAGTGCACTAGGCCTGAGCATCTGAAGCAGCCTGGCGAGGGCACTCCCTCTCTCCGGCAAAGCCAAAGGCCTCCACTTACCCAGATCGGGAGGCCACTCGGTGGGCGGGGCGTCAGTGGTAGGGACAGCTTTCGAATGCCCGGAGCCTCTTCCGGCTCCCTTGTCGGTAACGAGCCTAGGGTCTATGTCCGTCTCGATGCTGGCATCATGCTCAATCGAATTCAGGTTAGCAGTGTCCACATCGCTGTCAGTGCGACCGGACGGCGACGGAGACGGGATGTCCGATGCACCGTTGCCGACGGTTATAAACTCGGAAGCGTCCGCTTCGGAGAGTCCCTGTTCGCTCGAAGACTCTTCGCCACTCTCGGAAGACACGGACGAAGGAGGGGGCGGAGGAGGGGGAAGTGGAGGCGGCGGGGAGACGCCGCGGCTACCGCTGTCGGCGCCCTGTTCGGGAACCTGAAGCCCGTCACGCGCCGTGCTCAACTACGTTCTTCTCGAGGCCCGTGGTGTCGTCTAAGTCAGAGACCGCGGAATCGATACCACCGTTGCTCATTTCGTTATCGGGTACAGATATGGGTATCTCGTTGCTGGTCGCATTGTGATCGGGGGAACCGAACAAGGCCATGGGTCGCGGCAGTGGAGGCGGAAGTGCTGTGCTGGCATCTACGGTTCCCGAACTTCTAATCGGGAGAGACCTGGACGTCTGCGAGACGTCCTGCCGCGACGCCGGAGTGGACGGAGGCGACGGCTTCGAGTGCTCACCGAACGAGCGCTTACAGACGCAACGCATTCTGCTCACGCGAGTCTCGGGAGGATCCTCGGGGATCACGATCACCGTATCGGCATGGAACTCGGACTCGTGTGCCGGACTACGACTGCCGCGGTTTCGCTGCTGCGGGCTGGGCTCGGATTCGAGAGGATGCCAAACGTGCGGCGGCTCTTCGCCGCTCCCTTCGATTGTGTTAGTGGGCATGTCAGTCGGCAGTGGTGGAGCAAGGGAAAAATGCCCTGTAGCCGCCCTTCGGCGGCGCGGTCTGGCCCCATCGGGTCTGTAGTCGGTTTTGGGACCGCGGTGGTACGTACTTTTGTAGCCTTCCCCGTCAGCGGACGCTTCCGCGTCGTCGATGACGACGGGACACCGGTGCTGTCCGCCCTGCCAGCTGAGAAAAGGGACTGCTGAAAAATAAAGCAGAAGAAAGAAGCGTGTTACGCGATGACTGAAAATTCTCCGCAGCTCGAGTGACTCGATCGGAAAGCGAATGTCATCGCATTCACTATTGGCACGCGCAAGCATTATTCGACAATGGCGCCTTACCGAGGGCTCGAACAAGCGACTCGACACACGGACCATCGCTGCGTTTCATCCCATCCCATCTATCCCGCTCTATCAAAGCTATTCATTGACATACTGTACCATTATATCTATATAATTCCAATTATTTCTATTCAGTTCTAACCAGTTTCATCAACTTTACTTCTATCACATTTCATTCACTCTATGCAACTCATTCCATTCCATTAGGGCAATTCCAAAATGCTATTCAAATACACTCAATCTAATTCCACAAATTTTATCAACCCATTTAATTCGTCCATTTCATCCCAATTCATTTGAGCAGTAATGAGAGCCGAGCCCTTTGACATATCAACGCACCGTGAAAAAGCGCAAATAACAGCACAGGGACACAGGCAAGTGTCGTCTCACTCGTTGCTTTACCTGTGTGTTATTTTCGCTATTCCGCAATGCAATTCATTTCAGGCATCAATTTAAATAGATACTTTCAACTCAATTAATCTAATTCCATTCGATTTGTTCCATACAGTACCGATTGTTCCACCCACCTATGAAGTAGACGAGAGCGATGACCAGAGCCGTACAGAGGACGAAGGCTGCGATGGCGGCGCACTTCCAGGAACATCCGCGACGAGAGCGTCTTGCGGAGGTGCATCCGCGAGTGAGGGAAGTGGTGGCCCGGTCCCAGTGGGTGCCGCACGTGGTTGCGGAGCGGCATGCCGCCGCCCGCACCAGCCGGTGGCCGCGCCGCCGTACCCTAGCCTGCGTAGTGGCAACGCACGCCATACTCGAATGTGGCAACTCAACGACACCCTCGACAGTACTGAAAATGAGCTTAGCACCTTCTGTTCTCGGCGCCCTTGCACCGCGCGCTATATATATATATATATATATATATATATATATATATATATATATATATATATATATAAGAGAAAGAACTGTGTACCTAAGGGCGAGTTTTTCCGTGTTTTGACACAATATTAATGAGATCTAGCAGACAACAATGCCAAGGAATGTATAGGGGAAGCTATTAGAACAAATGGAATGTAAATAAGAAGAAATAACAGAGGGTGAAAAATAACCAGCCGTGAGCAAGACGGCTGGTTATTTTTTCACCCTCTTTTCTTTCTTCCTGTTTACATTCCATTTGTTCTAATAGCTTCTTCTATACATTCCTTGGCATTATGATCTGTTATATATATATATATATATATATATATATATATATATATACTACTCTGTCAGCTTTCGTAAATTTTCGGCCTTGCGCAGCGAAGCGGTATCGCAAGAAGTTCCAATATGTACAAGAAAATTTTCAACTAAGGTAACTTGCTTTTTATTTCCGAACTCTAAAGTCAGCGTTTTAGGCTCTGCAGGTAAATTGAAAAAAAGAAAAACCTGAACGATAGATGATTACTACGTGCGAGAGCTCCGTATTCGCGAAATACGTCCAAGTGCAAATCAGCGTTCTTTAACAAATGTCAAGTTAAGTAAACTCGACTCGTGTCAGTGTGGTCTCTTTCATACACAGCAGGCAATGAAGGTTGGAATTGGAACATTGCTTAGGCTTACGACCAAAAATAAAAAAAAGATTCATTACGTAAAACATTCCACGTGCTCCACGTAGTTCAATGAGCATGTTATACGAACTAGTCTCAGAATACGGCATAATATTACCAGGGTGGTACCTACAACAAACTTGTCAGGGAAGGATAGAATTTCGAGCGACAATCCTTCGACGACAAGCGACCACAGCACTCCAATAGCGATCACAACCGAAAAGGGGTACACGCTAACAAAAAAAAAAAGGACTTTGCCTCTCTTGTACCATATATATAGGTCACGTATATATCTCTTTAAGCAATCACTTTCTTTGTGAGAGCCGTGTGGAGCATTAATTTAGAAAAAAAAAACAGTTACCGCGTATTTTTAAAAAGATGTATACGTGAGTTATATACGTGGTAAAAGAGTCAAATGACTTTTTTTTTAGAGTAAGTCGTGCAATGGCACTACAAGTCCACGTAAATACGCGATTTGACGTAATCTTATTGCCACAGTTGAAAGCATAAAATGATAACTTAAGTAACTTGTTCCGTAAAGAAAGGGTTAGAGATGAAGAACGGCTGCAGTTCAAAAAGGTGCGGAGTGATACTGCTATGACCAAACGACTTGGGTACAGAAATAATTTTCGCAGAGTTCACCTGCTACGTATTAAACAGGGGGCATTCGCGCAGGTGTGCGAACTCAACGCTTACATAAACAGAACGGGTTATAGTAAAAAGGACACGCGTCTCTGGCACTTATGATTATGTTAGTAGGAATACCAGTCATCCTGATGTGGGCTCACGTGTCGCATCGAAGCAGCCGCCAGGAGCAGCTGGACTATCGCCAAGTAGAGCTAAAACAGGATGTTTACGCTGCGGCGCTGAACTTCTTGAGCAAACAGCCGACGCTACTTGAAAAAAAAAAAGAAGTGTGAATCGATGGGAATATTTTGTCCTCAAATCTTGGACGTCGATGGAGCGAATATTGAATTCAAACGCATGCAGGAGGGGGGTTCGTAAGAATAAAATATTTACGTGAGAAGGCAGAGGTGTATTGCTGCTTTTCTTATCCAAACTTTTCCAAGCTTTTCATTTCATGTTTTGTAAAGCTGAATGACGTTGCCTTGGCGTATTCTTTCAAAGATAATCTTTGGGAAGCCGCTAACGTGACGTGAAAATGAAGAAAAAAGATTACAGACGTAGGCGTTCAAACAGAGCTCGCAGACGCACCTGTCCGGATTTGTCTTTGTCTCGTCCTGGATGATGTTTGAAGTCCGAAAGTCTGTTTTGCTTTGTGGAGACCCAGGACCTTTGGTCAAATCTGCAAGAACGAATAAAACGAAAAATGAAGTTTAAACGCGAAACACCGCTTTATAAAACTGCATCAGGACCTAAGATGGGAGGTTAAGAGACAGGTACTTTCGACAGTAACAACCAAAGGGAATATTACGTCACACTGCAACGAAAGAAACTCATGGAAGAAACGAAAACGACGACTAAGTGTGTTTCTTGCACTGTGGCATTTCGTAATCATGTATCAGAATGCCCAACTCGCTGCTTCAGTGAAGTAATATCACGCCTACTCATCTTTCAACATGCGGTCTTGTGATTGCGCACGCCTTTCAAATTCATTCAAGAGTCGTAAAAGAAACTAACGGAAGGTTGATCATCACTGAGGCATTAGACATCCTTGTCAATACGAAAACTCGCGATCGGAAGTTCTTTACAACACTCTGGCGCGTCTTCAAATTAAAGCCGGCAGAAGGCTGGAGACTTTGAGGATGCAACATTTCGCAGATCTGACATCTGCATGACTGCGCCGCAAAATTACGCGTAACACTTAGTTGTGTACTGCCTAGGCGAGATGCTGTGTTGTGCCTGGATTACTGAGTTTTGCGGGTGTGACTGAAAATAGAGAGAAGGGCAGACGCCTCCTTTCACGAAGCACATCGATGCGACGACGCTGCCGGAACTGCGACCTGGGGCTTCTCCGCTAAGCTCGTCCGTTGTGCAGCCAAGACAGCCGCCGTCGTCGTCAACCAACACAAGATGGAAGCGAAAGGCTTGGGGCGGCTCCTCTTCAAAGATTCATGGAGAGCCATCCGGCGGTGCTGCCTTATCCAAATTCAGAAGCACCGCAGCGTACCACGCAGGCCCAGGTCTTGCCGATGTTTCTCTCGCTCCCTCGTTTCGTGTTTTCAAACCGTTCCGCTCGGCCGTTCCTTATTTGTGCTAGAAAATTTTGACGGGTAACCCCCCCACCGTCAGCTGGGAAGAGCACATCTTCCACATCTAGGGTTCTTTACATAAACCTTCCTTTCGACGCGAAGAGTAAAATGAAATGAAAGGAAAATTGAACGTCGAGGAAGCCGCGTTACGATAAAGCGTGAGAGAGATAACAAATATAAAGAAAATAGAGACAGCTTATATGTGTGCGGGGAAAATGCCGTCGCCGCCGAGGCACGTATTTCAGGAACGTCTCCCTTTAAACGCGTTGTCGCTGGTTCTAACGGAAGTTTTGAATGTTTAATGTCCGGGACACATAAGTACGTACGCACGCCTTCGTGAGCCGGGATCGTGAGAGGACGGTGTAAACCCAACGCTGCGGACACGGAACTAAACAGCGAATGACAAAGCTTGGCAAAAAAAAAAAAAAGATGGCGGGGTTGGGAGCGACAGCAACACAGGAACTGCGAGCGTATGGTGCAAAAAACAAAACAAAAAGAAGGCAAGCTTATACTGAAGCTGTAGGAGGCAGTATCGCTGCTTCAGCGTCAGGCGGGTGGTTCGGAGGAGAGATTAAATGACACTTTTGTGGACTAGCCACAGACAATGAGAGAGGTACCGTGGGCGCCACAAGCTTTTCTGTATTTTTTATTACCTGCTGGGCTTTTTTTTTTCGGTTTGTTCTCTTGACAATACGCTTTTATTGCTAAATTCTTCATGATACGCTCTTCCTTTAAGCATATATACTCGCTGTAGTCGGGTTCATGATCGCATTCCGAAAGTGGCCATACACGTAGGTGTGCTGCGGATGAACGGCCGCCCATAATGGAGAACACTGCGGAGAGGCCTCTTTCGAAAAAAAAAAAAACTGCTCGCTCAAGTACGACATAGTCGCACGCACGCTAAAAACAAAACCAAAAAAGTCGATGTTGCAAGATAGCTACAATGAAGAAATAATATAGAACTCCGCGGCTACCTAAACAACGTGGCAGAGCTACAAAAGAGACGAGCGAACAGAGGAAAAAAAAAGCCGTTTGAAACAACTTTGCAGGATAGCGAAAGGACACCATTAGTGCTCGTGCCTGCGATATTCCGCCTAGCGATGCTGCTGTCATTTTTGTTCTCTTGTCTTTTGTTCTTCTCTTAGTGGCGGACATCCTGCCACTACTCTCGCAATTCTACTTTCTCTCTCTTTGAAGTTCAGGAGGTCCGGAGCAAAAGTCGCAGGCGCAAGGGGCCATTATCCGCGTGGTTGATGCCGCTTGCTCGGCGGGGTTCAAACCCCGCAGAGCAAAACTGTAAGCGCGCGCGAGCCGCGGGCAGCAGCAACTGCGGCGCAGCCACTGTAAATTAGCTTCTCCCTCTCCCCCCCCCCTCCTTTATTTTTTGCGTACAAGCGGATTTTAAATTTCTTTTATAGGTTTTCATATTCCTCCTGCGGCTCACGCACGGAAGGGAAGTTACTGTGGGTGAATGCGCATGCCAGATGTAGAATGGTTTTCGCGGCTGTGGTGGCCATTGTTTAGCTGAGGCGTTTGGAACGCTCTCGAGGATCGGATGAGGAGAGCCATAGAATGTAGCAGAGGCCTGCTCGCCAGAGTGCGTACAATGAAAACATCCCCCCCTCCCCCTCCCTCTGCCCTGAATAAACAATAAAATGAATCAAGCGTACGTGCCTCCACGCCATTGTTCGCACTGTATGCAATAAAAAGCCCATTTACTTTACAAGTTGGATTCATTAAGTTTGATTAATGGCCACTAGAGGTGTTCACTGACTGTCGCGCTGTGGAAAAAAAAAGTGCCGTAGTGTTTCTTGCAGCACCGGTGCACTTGCAAACGTACATTAACTAACGTAGTTGGGGAAAAATGGGGAAAGAGAAGCTGAACCCCCTCTTCGAAAATTTTCAATTTCGAACGCTTACACACGCAAGCACACGCACACGCATTTATACACACACACACGAACGTACAGTGTCAATTTTTATGAAAGGGAACACGCGAACGCGTGGCTTGCGCCCTGCGACAGCTGCTTGTACCACGTTCAAGGGGAGAGCAATAGCAACCACAGCCTCTATTCCCGTCATCTAGTGGCGAGCACAACAACCGGTCATTGGTGATATGGAACCAGCGGCAAGATTGCAGCCCCGTCCCCCTTCAAGGCGATTACGCCCGGCCTCCCTCTCACGTAATTGCTTTAAGGGGAAGCGGTTGCTATCTTGCCGCTGGTTCTTTATCACCAACGGCCGGTTGTTTTGCTCGCCACTAGATGACGGGAATAGAGGCAGTGTTTGCTATCGTTCCCCCTTGAATGTGGTACAAGCAGCCGCCGCAACACGCAAGCCACGCGTTCACGTGTTTCCTTTCAGTATAACAAACAGTCAATCATTGGAAACTTTTTCATCCCTGCTCGAATGTTATTTATTGTCTTCAGAATTGACGAACTCTGTTTTTTTCTTGTCCACTGTTTGAAGTGTCACTATTCTTTTTTTCAGTACTAGTTGGAATTGATGTCCTATGCTTCTGAATGTATTTTAGTGGTACTGATGTAGTCATCAAATGTATTTCTGTCGGCTTTGTCTCACTCGTTATTATAATAATTTATTGAGTACCCTCTGTATAAATCTTGCCCTTTCACAATGTATGTGCCCTTCCTGCAATAATTCCTAATTGGGATTGGCAGTATATGTAAATAAATAAATAAATAAATAAATAAATAAATAAATAAATAAATAAATAAATAAATAAATAAATAAATAAATAAATAAATAAAAATTGACACTGTACATTAGCAATTTCGTGTATTCATATTGACCAAAAAATACACACACACACAAAATGCCTGTTCCTTCTTTCATTTTTCACAGTGTCATCTGCCATTAGATAAGAGGAGAGGGAGAGACACCAACTGACCGCTGGGAATGAAGAGTGATCCCGAAGGCGTCCGTGCCAGGCAGGAGGTGGGTTCGTACTCGGCGGGATCCTGGTCCTGCGCGAGCATGGACTGCGGCGCCGTGGCCGCGGGTGGCCGGCCGCCGCCGCCGCCTGTCCGGCCCATGGACAGGTTGCGGGGCGGGATGGCCGGAATGCCTGCGTTGTCAATTAACACCCACGGTGGTCGTCACAACTCTAAGAATTCGATAACACTTTTCACTGACTTAAACATCGCGAAGATTGGTTAAGCCGCGCAGGTGGTGGCGTTGTATTGCTGTCTCAGTGCATGACATTGCACGCAACGCTTAGTTGATCGGAGGTGATTAGGGGCCCTTGCCTGACTCATGTTCCTCAGCTAGGATTAACTCGACAAGAGACAAACCTTAGAGTTGGTTTGAACTTCTAAGGTTTGGGTTCATTGGCACATTCCTCATCATCATGAGCATATTTTCTCTCTTTTCTTTGCCTTTCCCCTCCCTTTTTCTTATGGTGAGTAACAGGCCAGAAAATAGATTCAGGCCAACCTCTCCGCTTTTTTTTTTGCCACTATAGACACTTCTCTCTCTCTCTCTCTCTCTCTCTCTCTCTCTCATTTTTAGTGATCAGGAGGTTAGTGGTGGAGCTCGTCCAATACCTGCGGCACATACCCAATAGAAGCTGCTTGGCACATACCCATTAGGCTTGTTATAAACGGCTTCTTTTTTTATTGTACCGGAGTTGAGCAGTGGGGCTTGCCTTTTCTTGTGATACATATTCAGTCGGAACAGCGTTACGCTTCTTACGAATTAGCCTGGAGCTTTAAACAGCTTCGCTATTGATAATATAGCCCAATGATGCTACCCTGGACCTCACCCAGCACCACCATGTATAATTCTAGGGTTATGGTTCACAGTGACAATAAATCCGATGGCGCAATGAACGTGACGCCAAATTCAGCGCGATTGTCGATTACTATCAAAAGGCAGCACTTCGAGCAAAGCCGACAGGCATTAGCAACCACCTGGGCTGCTCAGAGAGCTTAGATGATGAGGCATTTGACACCAATACATGTGGTGTATCGTGAGACTGAAAAACCAAACCGTCAACTTGCGGACAACTCTTTGAACTCAGCCGTTTGGATTAGTAGTCAATGCAGCCTGTAGTTTCACAACAGGCAGAAAGACACGAATACCGTACGGTTGCATATTAACGATCACTTCACCACGGATACCACTTTACAGAAGAACGAGGCTAGAATGTGATTTGACGTCTCCAGTTTAACACGAGTGATTACTGTAGCAATAACTTAGTTTTCTTTTTTTCTTATTTAAGCTCCAAGTCGCCAAGTAGTGCCACGTATAAGTCCACTCACGTTTACGTTTTGTGCAACGCAGTAGATGAACAATACACAAAATAAAATGTGTTCACGAATAAGCCAAACCTTTTAGTGGCTTCTAAAACGACGTGATCATTGGCGAACGTTCAAATAGGAGTATTGGCGAACATTTTTTTTTCGTGTGTAACGTGGCTACTTGCACGAGAGGTGTCGCGCACGACCGCCGAATGACAAGGAGCGTGCTGGACACCATTTGTCAGACGCGGCGACGAAAAAAAAAATCTAATCGCTCAATGCCGTCGTCACGCACGCTTTCGTTTTGTCACGGGATCGGCAGTTTGATAGAGCCTGGTCTAATGGAGGGAAACGACAACGTGTAGTAAGAAAGAAAGAAAAAAAGAGTAAAGAAAAATATCAAACTAAGCTGGAGCTGGTCGTTCTCTCAGCAAATCGGCTACTCTCCCCCACAGTCTCTTTCTTTCTCTCAAACGCGCGCGCACACGCGAGAACGCACTTTTCTCATTTAATCTTTGCGCGCAGACCCCGAAAGCCCGCCTCAACTCAATCGCGAACAACGGCGGATTACCATCTCCGCGCGCCGCACACACCAGCACTCCGAATTCGCAGGCGGTAGCAGCAGAAGCAGCACCAATCAAGCTTAAAACAGCGCACCACTTCGAGGGGTCGCGCTTCAAGAGCCGCGAATCAAGCGCTAAAAAAAAAAAAGAAAGAAAGAAAACGGAGCTCATACTCCAACGCTGCGCGGCTGCGAAGACCTTTGTTTCTCCGCCGCTTATTTCTTTCGGCACAGTTTTCTTTCATTTCCCGAGTCGCTAGCCATTGCTTCTTCGTCTAGCCATCCAAAGCCCCTGTGCTCGGCGTGAGATCCACTCCTGACCCCCCTCTTCTCTCTATAAGTCTCTCTCTCTCAAGTCCTCAGAGTTGAGGCCGAAGTTTCGATCAGCGCCGCGCTTCGTCTTCTCGATTAATTTCGCCAGGCCTGATCGCGGGCTCTCGAAAGAGATTTTCCGCGACAGCGCCCGCCACGGACTCCTTTTCGGCCGCCTTCTTCACAGCCGGCCGGCACGAAAGCTTGCTTCCACGAGCCCGCCCACCCGCCGCTGCCGCAGGGCCTCGAGGCATTTCGTCGTCTCCTAAACGTACCGCGAGACGTGAACGCTCGGCGATATTTCGTCTCCGGGGCGCTGAACTTTGTTCCGTAGCGCAGCAGGCGCGCTGTTCGTTGGACTTCGCGTCACGCTGGGCACGATGTACGATAGACGAGAAGAAACAAATTGAATTAGCATCGAAATAACTTCGACGCAGATAACGTGAAGACCAAGAGAATAAGAGGAGCCCCGGAGCTTTGAGAAAAACCGGGCGCGGCGCACGGTGAAGACTGTGTGCGTGATGATTTACAACTCTTGGAGGGCGAGTACAATCCATCTAAAAGTCCTTTTTTTATTCATTCGCTTAAGTTTTCTGCTTATTTTCAGGCACCACCCAAAAACAAACAGAAAATTGCCGTTGAAAATAATTGCGGTAAGGGCTGGCCAGTAAGATGGTGTGGGTAATACCCAAGAAGAATAAAATACAAAAGAAGGGTGTGCGCGTGCACAAGGAATTTTTGAGTGGGGAGGAATCGCAGCATGATAATGGACAATTCAGAAGCTCCGCGACTACAGAAAGGTTTGTTCGATCGCTGCTCAACTCACGTAGCCGAAATAGGGACCCAAGACCGTAGCAGAACTGCCCAATAGAGAGCTGGAAAATCTTGCATGCTATTTTGTGCTTTGGATTTCGTTTTGTTTTCTGTCGATGAAATCTGATGAAACAAAACACACAAAGACACATCGCGAGAATTGCGCCCCTTGCAAGCCCCACGAAGGCTTATTAGGGCAGTTAGATCGTTCAGTGCAACTACTGAAGCGTCGAAACACGTATATTATGCGCTAACAGTGCCCGAAGCGATAACGCGAAAATCGTGGAAATGTTTTATAATGGGGATCTCAAATGAAACCCTGTGAAGGATAACGTGATTACGTGACCACCAGGTACGAAACTTCTAAGTTTATACCAGCTGTATGTTTCAAATGAAAAAAAAATGGCTGCATTGAGACACAGATATAACCACGGTACAATATTATTTGTCGCTGTCAAACTTCCCGACAAATGAAATATGCACAGTTTTCTTCTCACATTCGTTCAAGTTCGCTGAATATAAGGAATATAGGCGATGGTAAATGATCTTTTTAGACACCAAATGTCCTTATTGCACCCGATCTTTAGCCATGCAATTATAAGCCAACGCAAACCTTATCGATGGTTTTTTGCTATCATAGCTTTGATACAGTAGATCAAGGGAGATCGTGCCGCATGATATACTGGTCCTGCAGATGATTACGTATTTCGAAAGTATCAGATAAAAGACACTATATTGCCCGTTGATAAATGACAACGAAGAAACAATACACCAAAAAAGATTTAACATGTTTCACATTATTTGTCTCGATCCAATTTCTTTCGGCGTTTTGTTCACGGTAAGAGGCTGTTTTCTTTGTTAGTTTCCGACGGATACTTCCCGTTCAACCCCAACTAGTTTGTGTCGGTTTCTCGCATCATCGAACTTGCTTCGGCTACGTATAGCCCGGCACTGTACGTAGTTATCTGTCAAACTTCTCCTCTGATTGGAACAACCGACATTGATGTAGCTTTCCAAAGAAAAATTCACGCGTCGCCTTGTTTCGCTGCCTTACAGATTCGTGCCTTCAGGGTCACCTTATTGCCTAACACTATGAAACGCAACCCGATGCCCTTAGAAGGCGTCCGTAGGCTCTCCAAATGGGCCTTGCCACCTGTCGCAGAAGGGAGGAGGCAGTGCGTCCGAGTCATGTCAGTTCAGTTGCCAGCCGGCAGCTGCTGGCACCGGTATCGCTTTGCAACGCAAGAACAACCGACAGACGTCGTTGTAATCGGCTCAGACGTGCGCCCAATCCCCCTACCCCGTGAACCCGTTTCCTAGGATGTCGTGCACGCTGTGCAGGAGAGCCCGACGCGCGAGCAGTTTTCGTCACTACAACGCGAGCGTGGCGCTGACACGCACCGGCTGAGCCGGACAAGCCCGTAATCTCCGCGACGCATTTACCTAACAGCGTAATTAAGAAAAGACGCCCGGCTCGCGAGCTCACCAGGGCACGTCCAAAACAGGGATACAACCGACCGCCCGGCCCTGGCAACAGCGCCGCAATCGCTTCAGCAGCTGCCTTGCCTGCCTGCACACCCTTCCGACGAGCGCGCCTTTCCATCACGAGCGCGCGTACTTGCGCTGACGTGAAAGAAACAAAAGATGCGAGGAGAAAAAAAAATTGGGGCACGCAGTGGTGAGGGTGTCCCACGAACGAAAGTGGCATCTGCTGCCTGCGGTGCAGTGCAGCCACCGGCGCAGGAGAACTCTTCCGCGGCACGCGAGCGAGCTAGTGCGTGCGGAAGCTACGCAACTCAAGTGAGAGAGGGAGAGAGAGAGAAGGGGAGAATCTGGCGGGGCGCCTACTCTTTCGGTACAAGAGTGTCCGGACCATGTGTCACGTCCAGGTTCGCCCGGCGAGTTGCATGGTGTAGGGCCGTCGTCACATCAAGGACAGTGACTCGCGCTCTTTCGCGGCGCGCTTCCTGCCCGGTGATGTTGGCGCACGAACTCGTAGTCCCCTAATCGCAATTGCGAACCGCAACACATGGTTGACAGTCAAAATGCGAATGGTTACAATAACTGTATGCAAAACATGTTCATGGCCTGAGAGATAAAGAAGGGGA